CACCTGAGGTCAGGAGTTCGAGACCAGCCTGGCTAATATGGTGAAACCTCATCTCTACTAAACATACAAAAAATTAGCTGGGCCTGGTGGCATGCACCTGTAGTCCCAGCTATTTGGGAGGATGAGGCAGGGGAATCGCTTGAACCGAGAGGCAGAGGTTGCAGTGAGCTGAAATTGCACCACTGCATTCCAGCCTGGTGACAGAGCAAGACTCCATCTCAAAAAAGAAAAGAAACGACTGGTTTTAGGAAGAATTCTTTCACACTAAGCATATTCTATTTTCCCCAAGTCTCTCTCACAAATCACATACATCTCATCTGACCCAAGGGGACTTTCTTGAAAAAGTTATTTCCAAGTTTTTTAAAGAAAAGCAAACACATTGTGGATTTCTGCTCGTCCTTCTCTCTCAGGTTTAATTTTTGCTTTCTTCACTTTGTGGTGTCTTGCTTCAATGTGTTGCTGTTCACTGTGGCAAATTCTCTATTTGACATATTGCTAGAAATCTTTGTTTTTCCCCAGTAGATCATTGTAACTTCCCTTGTTTTATGAGGAGTATAGGCTGTAGAAGACAGGCACATCAGCTCAAAAAAATCCCCACTAAATCAAAGACCAGTACAGCACTGACCTACCATTTTTATGCTGGAAACATGAATAACTGCCTGAGAGTTTTTAATAAAAGCTGCTTAGTATTCAAGATAAGAAGACTTGAATGTTATTCTCAATTTAGCGGCTCTCCGAGATTAGGTTTTTCCACTTTTCTTTTTCTTTAATTTTCTTTTTGTTTTTGAGACAGGGTCTCCCTCTGTTGCCCAGGCTGGAGAACAGTAGCATGATCATAGCAAACTGTGAGGTCAAACTCCTGGGCTCAAGCGATCCTCCCACTTCGGCCTCCCGATAGCTGGGACTACAACAGCAATTTGTTGTACACCTGGCTAATTTTTTTAATTTTTATTTTTGTAGAGATGGAGTCTCACTATGTTGCCCAGGCTGGTCTCAAACTCCTGGACTCAAGCGATCCTCCCACCCCGGCCTCCCAAAGTACCGGGATTACAAGCATGAGCCAACCACATCCAGCCCTTTTTTTGCCTTTTTCCAAAAATGGAAGGCAGCCATAATGAACTGTTTTAAAGTTTTTTACACGTTGGCATTTATCACATGCCATGAACTCTGAGGAATACATTGACGTGGAAGACATTGAGGAAGGAAGCTGTGAACTTCTAGAACATTCGTTAGGCCACAGCATTGCAAGTCTCTGGGGTAGAGTGACCATGTTTCCCATTGGGGCAGCTTTCTGATTTTTAGCCACTGAGTTTGGCCGGATTGACAGGACTGGACACCTCTAAGTTATTGCAGATGTTTATAAACAGCAGAAAAGCAAACAACATTTCTACAGATTTGTCCTCGGGGAAGGATGAAGGGTCATGGATCCCTTCCAGAATATAATGGATCTGGCCGGGCTTCATGCCTTGGTGATTTCTTGTTATATTTTTTTGTGTAACCCTGCCCTGGAGCAGAACTAGAGAACCCACGGCAGGCTTCAGCGAGGAAATCAAACTTGTGGCTGTCACCCGGGAAACTTGTTTGCCAACAAGCAAGGGTTTGGTGGGTAAAACGATCCCTTCCTCCTGGAGTTCCTTCCTTCCCCAAATACACTTTAGATGTGATGGGTGTGAGTAAACCCGCACTCAAGTTTCAGCTCCTTCAGGGAGCCACTAATTGCCTTTCTCATGGTTTCATCCAGTAAGTTGATCTGAGAACAGTGCCTTTTACGTGGAAGCCAGCACTCTGCGTGCTGATGAACCAATAAATCAAATCCCTTTTCTCAGGGAACTTACCGTGAGGCAGGGAGAGAAGCTCTGGAAATTCATCATAGTGGACCCTCATGTGTTCAGTGAATTGAATATTTGCTGAAACTATGCCTTTATAGCATGTGAGTAAAAATTACCAATTATACTTGGGATTGGAATGGAATCTTCCTGAACACTAGGAGTTGACCCGTTTGAAAGCCACCAGGGGCTGTCCTGGCATCTGCCTCCTGGATCAAGCCCAGGAGAGGTTAAACCCTCTGAGCCTGGCATTAAACTTTCACCATTCTGTGCCCGCCCTGCCCTTTCCAGCGTATTGCCCCTGACATTCCACTGACTGATGGATTCTGCAGTTCATGTGGCCCCATGTCTGTCTGTGCTCCACTCAGGAGAAAAGTGATGTTCTTATGCTATTCTTCATGCACAGCCTCCCCTAAAGCCAGTCTTACCCCAGAGCCCCAGGGGACCGTTATTTCCTCTGAGCTTTCCTGTTGTTTGGATTGACATGATCACACATCACCCCGTTGTCGGTGAGCTTTGTAGGCGCTCCTCTCGCCTTCCCAGCTAAATCGCGGGTACCTGCTGGTTAGACCGTATCTCATCATTTTTTGCATCCCCTACAATTCTTTCCATGTAATAGCAGGGGCTTCATCAACACCTTCAGCTGATTGATTATCAATTGATCTGTCCTTGCCTCGCTTAGAGTCTAACAGTTCAAGTACTTGGATGGATTGCTTCAAGCAGTTACACGCTGAGCTTTTCCCTCTGGTTGGTCATTTAAAGCCAGGATTCACCAACACCAGTAGTCATGACATTTTTTACTTCCTTCCTTCATTTTTTTTCTTTTCTTTCATTTTCTTTTCTTTCTGTCTTTCTAGCCTTCCTTCTCTCCCTCTCTTGCTCTCTTTCTCTCCCTTTCTTTCCTTCCTTTTTCCTTTTCTTTCTCTCTTTCCTTCTCTCCTCTTCCTTCATTTCCTTTTCTCTTTCTCTCTCTCCCTCCTTCCCTTTCTCGCTCTTTCTTTCCTTCTTTCTTTCTTTTCCTCTTCTTTCCTTTTTCTTTCACTTTCCCATTTTTTCCTTTCCTTTTCTATTTTCTTTTCTTTCTTGACAGGGTCTCCCTTTGTCACCCAGGCTGGAGTGCAGCGGTGCGCTCACAGCTTACTGCAAATTCAGCCTCTCAGACGCAAGCTATCCTCCTGGGTAACTAGGACTGCAGGCATGCATCACTATGCATGGCTAATTTTTATATTTTTTGTAGAGATAGGGTCTCACTATGCTGCCAAAGCTGATCTTGAACACCCGGACTGAAGTGATCCTCCCACCTTGGCCTCCCAAAATGCTGGGATTAAAGGCATGAGCCACCACGCCTGGCCTCATTCTTTCTTAGAGCACCGGAAAAATGCTTTTTCTGGGAGTGCTCTAATGTCACGTAACCTATATGTTTTCTTTATCAACACACATAGAGAACTAATGTGTTCTTGTATTGGTGTGGTTTTGCCCAGTGGTACCAGGCGTCCAATGGTGACACTGCTGGTTGCACTGCCCTTGGCCGTGTTTCTTGCCGGGGACACAGGGAACGACACACCCTCCAGTTAGCAGCACGGGTGTTGGAGTATCCACCGTCCAGCACCTCAGGAATTCCCCTCTGTGGCTGCGGGATTCCTGCCTTCCTTTGGATTTATACCCTGAGTTCCTGTTTCATTGCTTTTTAGATGGCACTGCCCAGGGTCTTGGCCAGTACTTGCCTTCATTAGTATAAGCAACCTTGAAGCTGCTAATGTAGCCCAAGTCAGAACTGCAGATTGAAGGCAGAGCCCTCCTACATGCGCCTTTGCAAACCCGGCTGAGGCTCTTGGGTGGACCAGGATAGGGAAACGCTCTTTCAGTGTCAGAAGCATCCCAAAGTGGCTGCCGCTGGTCGCTCCGGAGATAGTGGGTGGCTGCAGACACCACAGGTGGTCCAGCCCAGAGGGGATGCGGACCTGCTGAGTGTCTAGGGAGGAGTCAGGCACCTGAAGAAGGCTGGCTAAACGAGGCAAGTTTAAAGCATCCTCCAAACCTAAGCATCTGTGAGTCTATGGGAAAAGAATTTCTGGTTTCAGGACCAGATGGATAAAACCACCTAATGGTACAGGTTGAGTCTCCCTCATCCCAAATGCTTGGGAGCAGAAGTGTTTCAGATTTCCTTCGGATTTTGGAATAGTTGCATTATATACCGACTGGTTGAGCATCCCCAAATCTGAAAATCCACCATCCAAAGTGCTCCAGTAAGCGTTGCCTTTGAGTGTCATGTTGGCACTCACAAAATTTCAGATTTTTGAACATTTCTGAGCTGGGATTTTTGGATATGGGATGCTCAGCCTATTCCAGATGACGCAGGTCACACTTTCTAAGTAGTTTCTGAGCCTTGTCAAAAGCAAAAGTTACAAATTGAGTCTCCCTCATCTGAAAATCTGAAATCGAAAATGCTCCAAACTTTGGAACGTTTTGAGTGACGACATGACGCTCAAAGGAAATGCTCATTGGAGCACCTCGGATTTCAGATGTTCAGGTTTTGTGGTGCTCAACCAGTAAGTATGTAAATGCAAATATTCAAAAATCTGAAAAAATCTGGAATCTGAAACACTTTTTCTCCCAAGCATTTCAGATAAAGGAAACTCCATCAGTATTTATTTGTCGTATTTCAGAAAACAGTTACGAGCACGTGGTCAACATAAGCCATGAAAACCAGCCTTGTATATTAGCAGAGCAAATACTCTTAAGGAGACAGCAGTCCATTTTCCATTCTTGGAGCTCTGTGAGCCTAACAGCAGGGTCCTGGAGAACTTTTCCTAGGATTCTGCCCTGGGGGACCCCGGGGACCCTTCTCCCCAAATTCCTGCCGAGGGATGCTCAGAGGCATTCACTCTGTGCCCCTCTGAGAAAGAAGTGTTTGGGAAGACACCCCTGGCCATCTGGGGGTGCTTTGCCAGCTTTCTGCTCCGTGAAAGGCGGTTACTGGTCTTGGTGTGTTCTGCCTTCATTTACATCTGTATTAAGCAAATAAATAAGAGAGCACTCCCTCTTCCCACTACTTTTTATTAAAAGGGAAGCAGATGTGGGGTCTCTCAGACAAGGCAGCCGGCCCAAGTGGGATCAGAGAGTGCGATTATTTTCTCAGCGGGTGAGCGCATTTCTGGGCATTCTCTCTTTCAGCAATGAAGTCGTGAGGAGTGACTTGAAGAAGCTGCCAGCCCTGCCCACCCAAGCCCTGAAGGAGCACCCTTCCCTGGCCTACTGGTAAGACCCCTGGAGTCTTCCCCAGGAGCGAGCCCTTCCTGGGGTGTAAGGGGACACAGACTACCCAGACCAGCTCGGCTGTAGAGTCCCCCACCCAGACATCACTGAAGGAATTGGGAAGCAGACACCCAGATAGAACAGCAAAGTGGGACTATCCGGGGGCCAGCAGGCTTCCCAGCTGAGAGCCTCAGGGGGCTGACAGTATTTCAGGCTGAGGGCCTCAAGCAGACTCTGACCCATGTGTTTATTCTCTCAGAACAGGTGATGATTATTAACAAGCAGGGGTTCTGTGTTTTCTCACAGAACCAAGATAAACTAAGCAGGTAGCTGGTGTCCGCTTACCACTGATCAAGGACCAACTAGAAAGTATTCTCCAGGAGGGAGCCACAGGGGCAGGGTCACATATCCCGTGCCTGAAGAATTGTTTTAACCAGTGTATGATATACATATACTGTCTTCCTACTTTAGAGTGCCCCAAGTAGTTTTCCACCTGGCGGGGGTGGCTAGGTTTTCCTTGCCATCATTCTTCTCAGCAAACAATATATTTTATCATACACTCAGCATTTCTCAACACAGGACAACTGAACATACCCTCCCTCCACCAGCTCCCACATGCCAGTCTGGACTCACAGCTGTATTAAGTACCATGTGTCCACGAAACCGTTTTCTGCGTTTATTTATTTTTATTTTTTTGACATGGATCTCGCTCTGTCACCCAGGCTGGAGTGCAGTGGTGTGATCTCGGCTCACTGGAACCTCCACCTCCCAGGTTCAAGCCATTCTCCTGCCTCAGCCTCCTGAGTAGCTGGGACTACAGGTGCACGCCACCACACCCAGCTCATTTTTGTACTTTTAGTAGAGATGGGGTTTCACCATGTTGGTTGGGCTGGTCTTGAACTCCTGACCTCAGGTGATCTGCCCACCTCAGCCTCCCAGAGTGCTGGGATTACAGGCATGAGTCACTGCTCCCAGCCCGTCTTCTGCATTTACTTAAATGAAGTATTGTACATGAGACCTCTCCTTTTCTGTTTCTTTTTTTTTTTTTTTTAATTTTCAAAAAGAATACCTTCTAAATTTTCACTTTGGAAGTTTCGCTGCCTTTGAGAGGCTTTCATCATGAAACTGCTGCTAGAGTTTCATTTTGGAACACCTGTCATTTGTTGACAGGATGTGTGAGGTTCTGAGACGTGAGAGAACCAGGGTATTCTTTGCAGAAGAGAGAGATTGATTTTTTTTATTTTCCCTCAATGTTTCATGTCTTCTGATTTAGACACAATGTAACATTATGCCAAAGCTCATCTGTCAGCCCCTAAATGACTGATTCTGAATGATGCAGGCATTTGAAAGGTTCCCAGATTGTGGTTTGGGCCACAGTTGGGCAGGGCTTGCATTCCTTGATAAAGTTTTGCAATCTCGCTGGCCTCGTAAGCCCTGACGACTGCCCTTCGATAACTCTGAAACTGCTTCTCTGACGTTCCTTTCCTGATTCCCTAACAGAAATCATTGCAACTGCTTTTTTGTTTTGTTTTGTTTTGAGACAGAGTCTCACTCTGTCACCCAGACTGGAGTGCGGTAGTTCAATCTCGGCTGACTGCAACCTCTGCCTCCCTGGTTAAAATGATTCTCCCGCCTCAGCCTACCGAGCAGCTGGGACTACAGGTGCACACCACCATATCCAGCTAATTTTTTGCACTTTTTTTTTTAGTAGAGATGGGGTTTCACCATGTTGGCCAGGATGGTCTTGATCTCTTGACCTCATGATCCGCCTACCTCAGCCTCCCAGAGTGCTGGGATTACAGGCATGAGCCTGTAATGCTTTTATTTAAAAGCATGGCTGCAACTGTTTTTATTTAAAAGCAAAACAAAAAGCACAGACCAGGCTGATCCTAATAAACTACAACATGTGACTTGTGTAAGTGCTTTTGATGACAGTTTCTGAAATATAAGGATTATGAGCATTTCATCTTGTCTGGACACTTTCCAGACAGCAAACTAGTTGTTCATTGATTCAGGTGGCTTTCAGAGATTCCTTTGGCTGGGGTGGGGCATGCTTGGTGCAGGGTTCATTAGCAGGATTCAACTCTGGCTCATAAATCACATCTCTCTGAGAGACCACATCACGGGGAGCCGGGCCCTAGGCTGCGAGCTCCCTTCTGTGTCTGGCATCCCTCATTTCATCTCTTTGATCTGTTTTATTGCCACTCCTCTTTTGGAAACATAGATGTAGATGGATAATGGCTTTCTCTAATTATAATCTGCCCCCAAAGAGCAAAATCTGTTTAACCTGCAGGGATTTTGTACACATCACCTTCCAAATGTTGAGACTTGCAGTCCAAACACCAAAAAATGATGGTCCCGTTTCCTCGTTCATGGACCCTATTCCCCGCCTCTCTAATTCTCTATGCTGCTGGGCCTTATCCCTCTGTAGCCTCCTGGCTGTTCAATTCCAAAAATCCAGTGGTCAAGGCCACGGGGATGTGAGAGGTAACGAGAGAGGACCAGGGAGGAATGTACCCACCTTTGAGAGTTATCCTGTTGTGGGTCCCTCCATCATCTCTTCATTCATTCCTTTCCATACCTTAGAACAACGCTACTTACATTACAAGAGTTTTGAATTTCTTCTCTTCTCCCCATGTCTCTGGATCTTCCCTTCACCATCTCCATTGTCTGTTCTGTGTTTACACGATTACAAACCCAGAAGCACCTCCCTTCACCTACACTCCCTCTGTCTCTCCTCAGTATGAACATCTTCACCTATAGCTGGCTTGCCAGCTCGTCTGGTACCATCGTGACCAGGCCAGCACTTTCCCTGAGCCCCCTTCAGACCCATAAGTGCCCAAGCCAGTGTTAAATGCCCTGAGAGGGTGGCAGGACGGGGGACTTTCAGTCCGCATCACAGCCCAGCAGATGCATAAACGTCAATGACAGGGACCCCTCCTGATGACACCCTGCTGAAAACAACAACCACAACCACAACATTTCATCACAGTTGTCTAGCTGGTGTTGGCTCTAATAGTTCAACCTTATTTATATGGATTTTTGATTCTTATTGATGCGTAATAGTTGTACATGTTTTTGGTGTATATGTGATACGCTAATATCTGTACATAATGTGTGGTGTTCAAATCAGGATAACTGGGATGTCTGTCACCATAAGCATTTATTTCCCTGTATTGGAAACATTACAAATCTTCTTTGACATATGCAACCAATGATCATTAACTATAATTTCCCTACTGTACTATCAAATACTAGAATGTATTCCTTCTACGTACATAACTATTTTCATACCCCTTATATATAGATTTTTAAAAATCAAAGCCACAAGGTTAGGGCTAAGTGCTGTCCATGCTTCATACAGATACAGAATGAAGAGTGAGCAGGTGCACAGAGCTTGTTCACTGTCTTTCTCTCTGGGCCCTAGAATCAGCACTCAGCAAGGTTAACCAGGACCCCTCACTGGTGGGGGAGACCTTTCTCCCCCTCCCACCACAGTTGCCCAGAGTCTCAAAGTCCCCTGATAATTCCTGAACTAAGGAGGCATCCTCACCATTCTTTGGGGACCCTCCTGCCCCTGCTGGAGTTCACACATTCGATGGGCAACCTGCAGGCTGCTGCCTGGTGAGCAAGGCAGTGGGTCTTAGCATCCCCCCCAAGCCCCTGCAGTGACCATCCAGGTGGCTTTTGCCAATTTCTCCTCTGCAAAATGGGATGACACACACCAACCTACTTCAGACAGTAATTAAAAGAGGAAATATACCGTCACATCATGGTATTGGAAAGCAGTGAAAGTAGCATACTAATGCTGAGTCATGGTGCAAGAAAGCTTTCTGCTCATTTTCCCACACGTTTAACAAGCATGGACTTTTCACACCATGCGATTTTCCTGTTGAGGAGGCAACTGAGGCAGAAAGTTAGAATGATGGGCCCAGGGGAACAGAACAAGGCGGGATCAGGACCCTGAGCTGGATTTCCCCCAGCAGGCCTTGTTTGTAAATGCTGGGCCACCTGACCACCCCTATCGCCTCAGTAAGCTATGCAGGGACATCTTTTTTTTTTTTTTACTGCTTGTGTTTGTGGTGAAAAGATATACATATATTTAGAATTAGCCAGCTGGACTCAGTTTAGATGATCCCAATTTTGTTGGCAACATCCAAAGCATCATAATCAGGAGCCAGTCGAACATATGCCTTCTTCTCTCCATCAGGCCGAATCAGGGTGTTGACCTTGGCCACATCAATGTCATAGAGCTTCTTCACAGCCTGTTTGATCTGGTGCTTGTTGGCTTTAACATCCACAATGAACACAAGTGTGTTATTGTCTTCTATCTTCTTCATGGCAGACTCAGTGGTCAGCGGAAACTTGATGATAGCATAGTGGTCCAGTTTGTTTCTCCTGGGGGCGCTCTTCCGAGGATATTTGGGCTGCCTCCGGAGTCGCAGTGTCTTGGGCCGCCGGAAGGTGGGTGACGTGCGGATCTTCTTTTTTTTGTGGCTGTGGACACCTTTCAACACTGCCTTCTTGGCCTTTAAAGCCTTCGCTTTGGCTTCGGCTTTAGGAGGGGCAGGAGCTTCCTTCTTCGCTTTCGGCGCCATCTTGTGAAAAGGGTCCGGGACATCTTTTTATATTGCGAAACCACTGAGCACAACAGGCTAGCAGCTGATCCAAGACAGGGAACCATGTCACTGTCCCCCTATTTCTCCTTCCATCACCCATGCATTTTACCAAGCAGTACCCACTTCTCTTCAGAGAGGTCATTTGACTTAGCAACACAACCCAGCCAGTGACCCGGGAATAGGCAGCTTTGCTCATTTGCCTTTTTCATCCACGTAATGCTGCGTCCTCCAGACAGTGCTGGATTTCTGCTAGTTATCCCCTGGAGTCTCTGCTCCAAATCTAGGGTATGGGGAAATTGTCTGCAAAGCTCAGAGCACATCAGCCCTCTGTGAAGTTCCAGAGCAGAGGTGGGGACAAGCTGGGAGCAGAATAGGTTCTCGGTCAGGTTGCTATCCCAGGATGAGCCCACCATGTGGCAAAGCGAGCAGGAAAAGCTGAGGATGGGGAAGCCCCCTGTTGTGGTCTCAGAGAGCAGGCGTTCCAGGGTGAACTGGGGGTGGCAAAGATTTCCGCAGCTGTCAGCCACCCGGAATCCTGTGGTCAGAACATGTCCTTGTTAAACAGCGGCACAGCCTTCTGACAGTGATTTTGACTTTCTTTCATGGGTGTTTCTCCTGAGCTTTCTGTGTGTTTGTGGCTACAATGCTATGATGACTTGTACCTCCTCACCTCACCCCAGGGACCCTCTCTCCCTAGAGCTGCAAAGGAAAAAGGCTCCTATCTACACTGAGTTGCTTGACCCTGGACCTGGGAGGCAACCTCACAAAACCCCAGATCACGTGGTAGGAAACACTCCGAGGCAGCTGTCGATTGAGGGAGTGGGATGGAAGGGACTGGAACCACCGAACCTCCTGTCGCAGTGCTGCAGATTTAGTGAGGCTGGCTCTGCACTTGGGGGACACGCTCTTTAGGAATCATCTATCAGGAGACGACTTTGTCACACTTAACATAGAACTTCCTCGGCACGTGGGAGCCCAGGAGAGAGATGGCTGGGTCTTCCCCTTTCTGAATAGAGGATGTCCAGACCCCATAGAAGTGACTCCAACTGAAGTAAGGCCCCCTGTAGCCCACTGGCCCCCATTCTGGGTATTTATAAAGACCCTTCTTTATCAAGACCTGTGACTGTCCTCTGCACATCAAGTTCCAGAATATGAAAATTAAAAGATACTAATCGGAGGTTAAGGTAGTTATTGAAAGAGAAATAAATTACCCCCAAGGGCTAGGTGGTGAACATGTAGAACCTGTTACCCCAAAGCTGGCCTTACTAAGAATGAAAATAGAAAAATGTGGGTAAATGAAGGCTTTAGGCAGATCCCGTAGTGACGAATAATAGATAATAGGGCCGGTGTGGTGGCTTACACCTGTAATCCCAGCACTTCAGAAGGCTGGGGCAGGCAGATCATTTGAGATCAGGAGTTTAAGACCAGCCTGGCCAATGTAGTGAAACCCCATCTCTACTAAACATACAAAAATTAGCCAGGCCTGGTGGTACACATCTGTAATCCCAGCTACTAGGGAGGCTGAGGCAGGAGAATTGCTTGAACCCGGGAGATGGAGGTCGCGGTGAGTCAAGGTCATGCCACTGCACTCCAGCCTGGGCGATAGAGCAAGCCCCTGTCTCAAAAATAATAATAATTGATAATAAAGATCCTCTAACGAGAACCTGAGGGTATACAGAGCTTTGATGGCGGACAGGGAGGGTGACAAGGAGTGAGACAGAAGAGTGAGAACTGAGGTTCCAAGGCTCTGGGGCCTGACCAGGGAGGCTGAGGTGCCTGGACTCCACACCTCAGCAGGTGGGGTGAGGCTTTCTGCCTGCACCTGCTTCCCTGGGATTCCCGAGGTTGGCTCTGCCCACCCAAAGGCAGGAGTGGGTGCAACGGTATCTCCTACCCCATGGGCACCAAAGTCATGTCTCAGGGGGTAGGCTTGACACTGCTGCCAAGGAGCCAGCTAACCTCTTCCATAGCAGAAACAGGATTTCAACTGGGTGCGGTGGCTCATGCCTGTAATCCCAGCACTTTGGGAGGCAGAGGTGGGCAGATCACCTGAGGTCCAGAGTTTGAAACCAGCCTGGTCAACATGCGAAACCCCATCTCTACTAAAAATACAAAAATTAACTGGGTGTGATGATGCACACCTGTAATCCTAACTACTCAGGAGGCTGAGGCACAAGAATTGCTTGAACCTGTGAGGCGGATGTTGCAGTGAGCCGAGATCGTGTTACTGCACTCCAGCCCGGGTGACAAGCAAGATTGCTTCTCAAAAAAAAAACAAAAACAAAAACCAAAAAAAACACCTTAGCTTTCAGAAGGGGAGGAAGTTCGTGTCTACGTCTGGTAGCTGGTTTGCTGTTGTTCCCCAAAGTGTTCTGTGTGGCTTCCATTGCCCCATGGTTTGTATTAACCAGGCCCAAGTTCCAGAACATTCCATCCTCCTGGAAAGCCTTCCATCCCTGACTTCTCATTCAGAGCAGGTAGGCTATGGGTTAAGGTCGATGCCTGCCATCTCCCCATAAGGCCCTGTGTGGACAGGACTCGGGAGATGAGGATAAGAAGGATCCCAGGGAGTTCAGTCTGGGTATCCATGTATGCTCAACGCTGTCTGCTTCCTCTTCTTAGGGTACCATTGCTTCCAAGGAGCTGATCCCAAAACCGGGGTGCCAGTCTTTTTGTTCTTTTGTTTTTTATTTTGAGCCAGGGTCTCTCACTCTGTCGCCCAGGCTGGAGTGCAGTGGCACAATCCTAGCTCTCTGCAGCCTCGACCTCCTGGGCTCAAATGATCATCCCACCTCAGCCTCCCAAGTGGCTGGGACTACAGGACACCCCACCATGCCTGGCTAATTTTTGTATTTTTAGATAGAGACAAGGTCTCACTGTGTTGCCCAGGCTGGTCTCAAACTCCTAGGCTCAAGCAATCCACCCACCTCAGCCTCCCTAGTCACTGGAATTACAGTCATGAGCCACTGCACCCAGCCTGGGCTCCAGTCTTATATTTCTTGATTAGAAATTCAAGATAAGCCAGACACAGTGGCTCACACCTGTAATCCCAGCACTTTGGGAGGCCAAAGTGGGCAGATCGCTTGAGGTCAGGAGTTTGAGACCAGCCTAGCCAACATGATGAAGCCCTGTCTCTACTGCAAATACAAAAATTAGCCAGGTGTGGTGGCACGCACCTGTAGTCTCAGCTACTTGGGAGGCTGAGGCACAAGAATCACTTGAACCCAGGAGGTGGAGGTTGCAGTCAACCAAGATCGCACCATTGATGGCACTCCAGCCTGGGTGACAGAGTGAGACTCCGTCTCAAAAAAAAAAAAAAAGAAAAATAAATCAAAGATAAAGAGAATGCAAGTCCTTTGAAAAAAAACGGACCATTTTTTAAGTCAATCTACATCCAAATAGGCCGCACTCAGCCTGAGCTTGGAAATGCCATTCCAGGACAAATCATTTTTCCAGGAGCTGTTGGTGCCTTGGAGCTTCTTATGAGATGGGGCTGAAAAATACCTGGCCAGCAGGAGGCTTGGCTGTTGACCTAGGGACTCTGCTAACAGCATTCTTTTCTTCTAATTGCAGTGAAGACAGAGTCATTGAGCACTACAAGAAACTGAATGGTCAGACACGAGGTCAAGCGATCGTGAAGTAAGTGACCCTTCCGGCTCGCATGGGGATAGCGTTTGTATGTGTTAATATATCATATGTCAGGATTGTTCAGTTCCTCTCCGAAGACATATCTGGGAGTGGTGGGGGTGGGGGGGACGGTGTTTCAATTTAGTTTTCAAGTAAATAGTGACTCTGAGAACTTGATCACACACACATACACAAATACGTATATGATACCAGATCTGCTGAGTAACTAGCCTTGTGTGCATTCTGTGTGTGTTTCTTCGTGTTGTCTTTCCAGCTACATGAGCATTGTGGAATCTCTCCCAACCTACGGGGTTCACTATTATGCAGTGAAGGTGAGTGAACTCATTTGGTAAACGTTGCCAAACCTCCCCTAAACAAACAAATCAAAACTGCTTTTTTTTTTTTTTTTTTTTTTTTTTGAGATAGAGTCTCACTCTGTCTCTCAGTTTGGAGTTCAGTTGCACAATCTTGGCACACTGCAACCTCTGCTTCCCAGGTTCAAGTAATTCTCCTACCTCAGCCTCCTGAGTAGCTGGGATTGCAGGCTCCTGCCACTACACCCAGCTAATTTTTGTATTTTGTCGAGATGAGGTTTCGCTGTGTTGGCCAGGCTGATCTCAAACTCCTGACCTCAGGTGATTCTCCTGCCTCAGCCTCCCAAAGTGCTGGGATTATAGGTATGAGGCACCATGCCCAGCCCTCATTTTTTTTTTTCTTTATAACTCCTGGTGGAAATACAGGTCAGGGGACCTTGGTCAGGAAGATTGCATGCTGTCGGGGAGACAATTTGAAATACAGGAAACTTCATCCTGTCTTTCAACTTGCTTCAACCTGTGGTCCATTTCTTTGTCAGCCCTGGAACTTAACAGAAAGGCTACCTCTGATATATATGCTTTCTGTCTTCCAAGGAAACTTCAAAACTGTGCTCTTTATTTCAGTTTGGTAAAGATCAGAGCAGGGCTTGTGATTTTCAAAGTACCAAGTGTGGGTGTTTGGCAATTAGAATCTCAAAGCATAAGCAAATGGTTCTGCTACTTACTTGGAAAAGAGCACGAATCCAGGAAGCCTGGCCCAGCTGCATCAAGCTCCCTGTCTGGTGGCCTTGTGATCTCATGGATGCCCTGTTTTACGCTGTAAAACAGCACTTACCTGGCCAATCCGCTGTTGCAGTGGCATTGGGTTTCCTCTTGTTCCATGATCTGAAACCCTTGCAGTGCACACAACTACTTCCCAGAGGCAGGGGGTTAAGATGAGGATTTTATAGTACCTGTAAAGTTTTGTGGTTTTTTTTAAACAAATCATACACCATGAAGCTTTAAAAGAATTTCAAATGTATCTCTTTTGCCTTTTATCTTTTTGCTCATCTTGAAATAACTCACACCCCACAAATATTCCGAAAATATTACGCCCGTTTCAAGTTTTCCAGATACCCACAATAGGGGTGTATTAAGTTATTTAGAAACTTGGCAATTAGGGCATATCTAGGGAAAAGCTGCCTGATGTTCTCACTATAAAATCCTAGCTTCTGGGAGCTCCAATTAACTCAGAATCATCCTATTTGCATATAGAATTGCAACTTACACTCAGGTGATAAGAGTTCTCTGTTAAAAGAATAAACGAGGGGGCCAGGCGCAGTGGCTCACGCCTGTAATCCCAGCATTTTGGGAGGCCAACGTAGGCGAACCAGTTGAGGTCAGGAGTTTGAGACCAGCCTGGACAACATGGTGAAAACCCTATCTCTACTAAAAATACAAAAATTAGCCAGACGTGGTGGCACATGCCGTAGTCTCAGCTACTCGGGAGGCTTGAGGTGGGTGAGTTGCTTGAACCTGGGAGGCGGAGGTTGCAGTGAGCCAAGACCATGCCACTGCACTCCAGCCTGGGTGACAGAGCAAGACTATCTCAAAAAAAAACAAAAAAAGGAATAAACAAGGACTCGGTGTTTCTAATTCAGTCCTGAGACTGTTTTGGCTTGCATTTTGCTACCTGTCCAACAGCATGAGTCCTAACGCCCTGCCTGGACACAGCTGTCATCTTGGGTGAGCAGGACCTCGGGGTGACACCTTCTGGCCTGTGCTCCCCGGGGCTGGGGAAGGTCCTGGGTAAAGCTGGGCAAACTCTGCTGTGATTTGTTATTAAAATGAGAGGAGTCACTTTCCATAGTCTCCATGGCTCCTCTGGCTCTGACCTTCAATGACAGTTTCTCTGCCCAGAGGGTCCTTTTATTAGGTGTGACATCTCACATCTCACAGATTTTCCTTCGTGGTGAGTGGGCGTTCCAGCATGGAATGCCTAAAGTCTTAGAAGGAAAAAAAGGGAGAGGGAGAGAGAGAAAGCAGGGCATTCACTCGTTGTTTCTAAAGGGAAAGGACCTCTACCGTGGGGCTGATTAGGAGCAGAGCCAAGCCCCAGCCCCCGGCACTCCCCATGTCCCCTCTTTACATAACAGAGCATCTTTCAATGAGGGGTGCAGATGTTAAGGAATGAAGTGGGCAGGTGAGCTCCATCCATTCCAAAGAAATGACACTTTCCCTCCTCTGCACCCGAGCCAGGAAATCTCCACTTGGCGCGTGTTTGCTTCCTCCAGCCCTAGAATTACATGCACCTTTTTTTGATGTCCTAGGACAAGCAGGGCATACCATGGTGGCTGGGCCTGAGCTACAAAGGGATCTTCCAGTATGACTACCATGATAAAGTGAAGCCAAGGAAGGTAAGGGTGGTCTCCTGCGTGGGTGTAACGCCTCTCAGATCCAGAGAGGTACAGGTGTAGAAGTGACTTAAAAAATCCTCACGCCAGGCAGCCTAAAGGCTCCCAATCCCCTGCTAATTTAAGTGTATACAAATTACTCCACAGTAATCCCTTCTGAGTTCCCTGGGTAAATATTTTTTCATTTTCTTCTCCCTGTCTCTAAGGAAACCTAAGCTGTTATAATTACTTAAGGTGAGGTGGCCGGCTCGGTTCTCTCCAGAGCAGATGGGCAAAGAGACTTTTGAGAGACTGTCGTGTTCCTTAATTTCCAGTGGGGCTATATTCTTTGGAAAAATGATATCAAATTTCTCTTGAATCCTGAAGCCATCTGAGTTCTCCCAAAGGTTTTTGGGACAGGATCAAGGGAGGTGGGAGAGCTGAAAGAAGAGATTGCGGGTCAAAAAGGCTATGCACAGTAGCTCACGCCTATAATCCCAACACTTTGGGACCCGGAAGCAAGCGGATCACTTAAGGCCAGGAGTTCAATACCAGCCTGGCCAACATGGTGAGACCCCATCTCTACTAAAATTACAAAAATTAGCCAGGCAAGGTTGTGCATGCCTGTAATCCCAGCTACTTGGGACACTGAAGCATGAGAATCGCTTTAGCCCGGGAGGCAGAGGTTGCTGTGAGCCAAGATTGCACCGCTGTATTCCAGCCTGGGTGACAGAGTGAGACTCTGTCTCAAAGAAAAAAAAAAAAAGGTTAAAAAAAAGAGAGAGAGGTTCCTGGAAATCCAGCAAATATTTTCTGGTTCAGTAAAGGTGATCAGAAAATAAAATTAGTTGCCAAAGAGGGAGAGAAACAGAGAACGGTTTGCAAAGTCCTTGTAAACCCAAAGTGGAATGTTTGAAGGGGACACAGCGTTTGAATTTTCTCTGTTTTCGTTTACACACATTTTTCAGACCAGAACAAATTGAAAAATTATAGTGGAAACAATCTTAGAGGCGAGTGCTGTCATTCAGATTCCCTGGCAGAGAATAACAGAGAGATGGTATGCAGTTCAAACCCTGAAATACATATTAAAAACCTATCAAAACTACACTTGCTTTAGCAGAGAGAAGGCAGCGTTGGCCCATTATGTCACTCCAGATTGCTTTCCAAGCTGTTTTATCCACGAATAGGATTGAAACCCACACTACACATCTGAGTGGATTGTAGGCTATCCAGTTAACATCTGTCCTTAGCCAGCTTCTTTATTAAATTGACAGAAGAAGAAAACGTTCCCATGTTGGGGAGGATTTTCACTTCATTGATCAGCAAGGCGGTTAAGTTCTAAGAAAAGATCCTGAGCAAATGATGAGGGAATTATTCACTGGGTACAATTCAGGAAGAACCTGGCTCTTTGTGGTGTGGAGGGGGTGTTGTTTTGAGGCTATCTCCAAAGGCTTTTCTTACCCTTTTATATGCAACAAGAAATTAATTGGACTCTCTGTGCTTATTTTTTCTGGCTTTGTTTTCCTCAATTGCGGGATTCCTCTTTCTCCCTGTATTTTTCTTCCTGCTTCCCCTGTGCCTTTTTCCCACGTGGTCTTTCTATAATTGTCTGTGCCTTTTCTTCCCTCCCTGTCTTCCCTCCTTCTTTTTACAATGACCCTTCTTTTTTTTTTTAGACAGGGTCTTGCTCTGTCTCCGAGGCTGGAGTGCAGGGGCGCGATCTTGGCTCACTGCGACCTTTGCTTCCTGGGTTCAAGTGATTCTCATGCCTCAGCTTCCCCAGTAGCTGTATTACAGGTGCTCGACGCCACGCCCGACTAATTTTTGTATTTTTAGTAGAGACGGGGTTTCATCATGTTGGCCAGGCCTGTCTCAAACTCCTGACCTCAAGTGACCCACCTACCTCAGCCTCCCAAAGTGCTGAGATTACAGGCGTGAGTCACCGCGCCTAACCTGACCCTTCTCTTTTTTAACCTGACTGTTTTTGCTGTTTGCAAAATCCAAGAATACTCCCTAAAGCCTTTAACAAAATTCAGGCTGCAATACATTGAGCTCTCTCTTGCCCGTAGTGGTGGAAGACCCAGGCCATCGTGGATAATTGAGATCTATAGCAGAGATAGTTAAAATCTAGCAGTTAAAATCACTTCTCCCTCTAAGCATCTTAGGAGACATGCTATCAAGTATCCATACTTGTTGGGTTCAATTTATTAATATGTTGAATGTTTAAGCTTTATTTCTCTAATTGAGGTTCTAATGAAGATTGAAGAGGTGATCAGCTAGCAGTTGATGTGTGTGAAACGCAGGAGAGGATGCATAGCTAGGGCTTGATCAATTTTAACTATTAGTATTATTCATTTTTTTTGAGACAGAGTCTTGCTTTGTTACCAGGCTGGACTGCAGTGGCACAGTCTCGGCTCACTGCAACCTCCAGGTGCAAGCAATTTTCCTGCCTCAGCCTCCTGAGTAGCTGGGATTACAGGCACGCACCGCCACATCTGGCTAATTTTTATATTTTTACCAGAGGTGGGGTTTCACCATGTTGGCCAGGATGGTCTCCTCCTGACCTCATGATCCGCCCAGGTTGGCCTCCCAAAGTGCTGGGATTACAGGCGTGAGCCACCATGCTTGGCCAATTATAACTATTATAAGATGCTAAAACAGGCTTTAAGATAAGGAAAAGTAAGAAGCCAAAGGCATGAATAATCAGCCACTGAATAAGAGAATTTACAATAATGAATGGAACTTATCCTGGTTCTTGAATTTAAAATGTTAAAAGGTTAATATCATTTTCCAGGGCATTGGCTCTAACCCAGACTGGGTTGTTATTGAAAATCACTTGGGTTTCTGTGGCCTTTGAAGAAGAAGTTAGACTTTTCCAGCCCGTTTCTAATTTAAGGACAGACTACCAAGCCGTCAGAGCCATTATTCACTCAAAAAACAGTCATTGCAGTCGGGCACAGTGGCTCACACCTGTAATCCCAGCACTTTGGGAGGCCAAGGTGGGTGAATAGGTCACCTGAGGTCAGGAGTTCAAGACTAGCCTGACCAACATGGTGAAACCCTGTCTCTACTAAAAATGCAAAATTAGCCAGACATGGTGGTGCATGTCTGTAATCCCAGCTATTCAGGAGGGTAAGGCAGGAGGATCACCTGAATGTAGGAGGCAGAGTTTGCAGTGAGCTGAGATCACGCCACTGCACTCCAGCCTGTGTGACAGAGCCAGACTCCATCTCAAAAAACAAAACAAAACAGTTATTGCATACCTATTAGGTGTCAAGCACATCACTGGGCACTGAGATGAGGCATAAATCCTGTCCTCCAAGATATATGATATTAAGCCCGTGTCTGAGCAGTGTAATAGGAACCTATGTGAAGGTCGATGGTGATTCCAGAAGGCAGTTGTCAACCGGCATAAGGAGAAGTCCTCACAGAGGAAGCAGAGAGGGAGTGAGTGGGTCTTCAAGGATGCAAAGAGTTTTGCAGATGGAGGAATGGGATGGGGAAGTGTTCAGGAGAGAGGCCGGTGTGCCTGAAACCACAGTGACAGGGGTAGGCGACACAGCGCCATTCACACTGGAACATTGGGTGAGAACAGAGGAGCTGGTGAGGAGGCCAGGGCTCACAGGTCCTGGAGGCTTAAAGGCTCTGCGAGGAGAACTTTATCCTCTGTAGGGAGTGGAGCTGCATCTATTTGAAGGAGAGATGTATAGTGTCAGATTTCCATTGCTGTAGAAGCACCCTCTGGAAACTGCTTGGAGGTTGGCTAGGAGAAACCAAGGACAAGACTCAGAAACCAGCACATGATGATGGTAGGGCAGGCCACACCTGGCGGGGCTTGAGGATGGAGATGGGGAACCAAGACGTTGAGAAGGCGTGTGTTCCTGGTCACCTGTGGGTGGGAGAGGGAGGCCCTGAGAGGAGGAGGAGAATGCAGAATGACTCCAGGCTTCAGGATCCACCAGAGCATGGATGCTAGGAGAAGGGGAGGACTGGGAGTGACAGATGAGGGACGAGTGCAGCTTAGGACATGCCACGCTGCAGGCGTGATGGGATATCCAGGTGACTGTGACTAGTAGGCAGTTGGGCATTCAGTTGGAGCTCAAGAGTAGCAAGAATTTTCAAAGCATCACTGAACCAGGGACTGGACAGAGAGAGGAGGTTGGATTGGCAGCTGGCACACCAGTAGCTGGGAGTGAAGAGTTCATTTCCCAATCATGATGATCACGGCGAGATGCAAAGGCTGCTTCCGTTGCATGGGCCCTGAAGCTTACATCATTCGGGGCCCTCCTTAAGAAATGAATGTACAATCTGAATATACAATTAAGAACAGGTCTTTGTCCAGGCGTGGGGGCTCACACCTGTAATCCCAGTGCTTTGGGAGGCTGAGGTGGGTGGATCACCTGAGGTCAGGAGTTCAAGACCATCCTGGACAACATGGTGAAACCCCATCTCTACTAAAAATACAAAAATTAGCTGGGCCTGGTTGGTGGGCGCCTATAATCCCTATAAGCTACTCAGGAGGCTGAATCACTTGAACCTGGGAGGCAGAGGTTGCAGTGAGCTGAGATTGTACAACTGCACTCCAGCCCTGGGCAACAGAGTAAGACTCCATCTCCAGAAAAAAAAAAAAAAAAAAAAAAAAAAAAAAAAAAAACAGGACTTTGAAAAGCCCTTGAGGAAAAGTAAAACCTTAGCCTTGTTAGCTTCTAGGGGTACCCACCCCTGCTAAGATGTGAGATGGAACTTAAAGGCAAGGCCATGGGCTCACCTGGAGCCATTGTGAAGAAGTCTCGGCTACAAGAAGACCTAAACAGGGCGCCTGTTTCTTTTTCTTACATTGCCAACCTCGTCACCGTTATAAAAAGGCCATCTTTGTTATTTTAAAGCACATGTCAGTTACTCAGACTGCAGAAAGCCCACCCTCTGATCCCGGATCTCAGAACCTAAAAGGATGCACACACATGCGAATGAATGCTGACGCAAGTCCGCATCTGAAGTGCCGAAAGTCTGTCTTCAGTGCCTCT